AAGCAATTATTATTATTATTATTATTATTATTATTATTATTATTATTATAACAGTGCCAAACTGTGCCCAAATAATCCGGGCAGCTGGTGATAGTGAAGCCATGCCTTCTGAGCACAAGGCAATGGCCAGATCTCTCTGGCACATATCCTGGACCAAAACCCTCATATCTCCACACTTCACCATAGGAAGTAGCCACAGTAAAGGTAAGAAGGGAAGAATATGAAAATTCTCCCCCAAAGGGCATAAAGACCCCTGGGACTGAACCACAGTCATAAAAATCACCCGAACAAGTGTACATATTGTTTCAAATTATAAAGGCAAAGTTCTGTAAGAATTAGCCAAATAGGTTGCAAAGATGTATCTCATTCAACCAAAAGCCTGGATTTGAGGTGCTATGATAAATTCAGGAATTAGGACTTAAATGTTCTAGATTTTTAGACTTATAACAACAGCCCCGTCCCAAGGAGTTTTAAAATGGGATTTTTTTTTGGTTTTCTTAAAGACGTCATCAAGTTACTTACTGTATGAATACCTTTTACACGGCAGCATTAATACATGCTAGCTTGATATCATCAGCTATGAAAAAGTTAACCTAGGCTGATTCTGGTCAGTACTGGGACCAGAAAGGAAAATCAGGTTACTGCAACTGTACATATGGCACTGTTTGTAAAAATAGTAGCGTTAACTCCAGTGTCTTAACTACTGGTTTGCTGGGTCTGTCCTTCCTAAAGTTTCAATTTAATTTAACTGATAAAGCAATTTCTCACTTCTCCACAGGATCAGCTGTGTACTGGGGCTGCTGGCACATAGTGGTTATCAAGCATAACTTAGATGGGTTAGGAATTTCAATGTTGGACAAAGTGGGTTTCCTCCTACTATACAGTATATATGAAATAAAACTTTGGGATAGAAAATGCCATATAATTGTCAAAAATGATTACAGTCAGTGACTAGACTGCATTTTTTATACAATGTGAGGGAACACATTGAAACAAGATTTTCCATCTCACTCGATGTGCTTCCACATTTACAAAATGTTTTTTAATGAAGAAAGACAGGCAGACATCTGTCCATCAGTCTTATTCAATTCAGAATTTTTCACAACAGTGTAAAAATGCATGAAATATTTCTGTATTCCCTGCATGAACTATAAATGTACATGATGTAACTGTTTTATTATTTTGTCTTGAAAAACAGTCTGTTATCTGAAATAATTAAGATTTAAAGCTCACGCCTTTCCAGACATCATCATAATGGATGACAACAGTTGAGCTTTATATTGCTCAACTGAGGCCATCCATTATCGTTTCTTGGTAATATTAGATAGATAGAGTTGATTGATCCCAAAGGGAAACTGAGGTGTTACAGGAGCCCAGCCCAAGACAAGCAAAAACAGACATCAGAATAGGCTAAAAATTAAAATAAGTACAGCAATACAAAATAAAATAGAATTAGGTGTGTGCAAAATATACTAATAGTCACTGTAAAACAATAAAATAAGTAAAATGCACATAGGTATATACAGATTGAAAGTACCACAGTATAAATAATGTATAAATATTGTTTATCCCCTGTAGGTTATTACTTTCTGTTTAGATCTATAATTAATTTGTTCCATATACCAATTTTCTTCTTCATTGATATGAGGTTCTGTAAAGATAGCAAAAGGTATTAACAAATTGAAACTACGGTTTACTTTTGATATTTCAACATATCGCAACATCAGGTACTGATAAAGTGACAAGCACAGTAGTGCATTTTTAAGGATATCACCATATCTCTAGGGAATGGGAGTTTCTTTCAGGATAAAAAGACTTAATGTTGCTGAGTTGGCAAAGAAGCTTTTCAAGTTTCAAGGCTCTGAGAAATCCAGAATTTAAATGAGAATACATTAATTCTGGGTCGTCAGTCATCCAAACGGAAGAGACAAGCTGCAAGGTGATGAATGTTTCATTTCTTGTTAATGTTTGTCACTTTATCATCTTCCTTAATGTAATGTAACAAGTGTGCAAAAAAGTACTGTAAGTAAATACCCTTCTGCAACCAGCATAGCATTCAAAATGAATTAATTGGTTTGTTCTATAAACATCTTCGTTAATCAAAATATACAATGTAATATACAATGGTTTACTGAATACATTATTTCTCAAAACTTAATTCCACCTGGGGATGATTTCAGTGCCTATTTGTTTCCCAACAGAGAAAAAGTTTGAAAGCTTCTCACCCTCAGAACATTCACAGCTTCTTCTATAGAAATTCCAGTTTTTCATTTTTTGTGTAAAAAATAACTCAAACATTTTCAGACAATTAAAACATTAAATAAAAAGCTTCATTGCACATAAAAAAATAAGGAAGGGATTTTTCTCTTGGCAGCCAGGAACAACAAATTCAAAATATCATTGTCAGGTGTCCTACTCAATTACAGGAGAGCCTTGTGAAGAAAAAAACAAAAGACATTAAAAGTCCCAATGAGCAGTGACAATAAACACCGTACTGTTCAGAAGCGTTTATCGTACACCACTTTTGGTTCATCATATACAAGTCTTTCCCTCAAGACCCAGAAGTGTTTTACAGTAAAGCATAACATCAGCTGAGAGTTTTTTTTATGACCATCTCCTTCTGCAGGATTTTAAATGGTGAATTCCACAGTCTTCCTAACTATGCAAGGGTAATTGGTCAGCGCTATAAGATGCACTTCAGAAAACCACAGACGTGTTTACGCCATAGATGGTACTGTATTCTTCCCTAAAGGTAATGATGATCTGGCTCTGCTGCAATGCACTTTAAGCATATAAAGCAAAACACAGACATACAGATAAATAATTCATTAGCATCAATGTGGGAAGTGACTATTAGCTACCGCTTAATCATGCAAAGCAAATGTGACTGTATAATTTATTTTTTAATGAAGCATTTATTGATCTTCATTATCTTTTAATGTCTGGGATAAACTCCTTTGGACTGGGTTTTTGTGTATTCAAGAGAGCATGAGGGGTGTGTAGCTGCCTGCATACTTACTTTACCCAGGTCAAACTGCCTCAATAATTAATGATGGGTACTTGTCAAAAGTACCTGACAGCCCCTTTAGGTTAACTCCCAGACTTGACTTTAAATCTGAATAATCATGTTTTGCATAATTCAGACAGTGAGAACAGAGATTTGGAACAGTAACACATTCCGAAAAACAAATATCTGTGTTAAGGAGAGGCATTATATCAGAGGCACAGAGAGCTCATTCCTTAACAGATTGCTGAACACATTTAAATAATGCACCCTAGGTTTTTTGTTATTTAAAATGTGTGTCCAAGACATTTCTCCAATTCCTTGGTTTATTAAAAGCTATAGTGTTTCCTGTAAGTAACTATAGTTCATCCGCTTAATGCTCAATAATTGACTTCATCATCATCCATTAGGTTCAATTTCGAGTCTTCCTTGTGAAATGAGTAATTTCAGTTTTTGTACCTCAAGAATTTAGACTTAAGATATTGGATACAAGCACACACAGACACATGCTTCATTGCTAAGCTAAAACTGTATATGTATATGCTCCAAGTTTTATTTCAGAGTTTCAGTGTCCTTCAAGGCTGGATATTCACTCAACAAATAACAATAACAAATAAAGAAGAGACTGACAATACTGGAAAACTACAATTTAAGTGTCAGTCCCAAAGATGCACACAAGGTCAATGGGGTAACAGACTTTTGCAGAATGACTTTCATTTAAAGTTAAACTTATACATTTGTGGAATTATTACCATCAGCTTTGGATGCAAAGAAGGTTAACACAATCTTTAGTTTGTCAAACTAACCTACAGTCCTAGTAGTACAGTGTGGTGTGTGCGAAAACATTTTTTAAAGGCACTTTATGCAAGTATGACCTCTGTGGGGCAAGCTCAGAGGAAAGGAGGAAATGTATACTGTATGTAGATTGTTCTTCAGCCAGATAGAGCTACAATCACACCTTTCACACCTTTCAATCAGTGTTCCAACACTTTCTGTACCAGTGGAGGATAAAGGGAATGTGAGCGTCTTTTTTATAACCAAGAGATCTAAAGGAAATGCTGACTGTAAAAAGGGGTAAACTATCAGAGCTGCAAGAAAATAAAATGTTATTTCTAGCATTAAAACAAACACAAAAATTGTATTTTTATTCTCGATAAAAATGTTAGTTGTTGTGTTTCTAACAAAGTGCAACAACAGCTATGTTGTCTTCAGCTCTACTGCTGCATTTCTTAAGAAATCACCAAGAAAAGGCAAAATACAGTATGTAAAAAATAAAGAGCACTTAAAATATCACTTACAAGAACAAACAAACTGAAAAACATGTAAGATATTTATACAAAAATATACTAAGGAACAACTCAGATATTTATGTGCACCCAGTGGATAGTGTACACTGTATGACATAACATAATGAAATACAGGGCTGCTAAACTTGTTTGAAGCAAATAAAATAAGAGCACATTTAAAGAAAAGCTGAAGGCTGTACTCACAGTGTGGAAATCAAATTCTTCAGGTGTTGCAGGTGAATCCTTGCAAAGGAGCGAGGAAAAATACCCAGGGAGGAAGACTGCTGAGGGTCCAAACCTTTCGCTCTGAGCGCTCGCTCTAGTTGATCTGTACAGCAGAGCAAGGTATCCGGAGTGTAAGTAGGTTATTTGATGATCATAAGCAACAGGCTACAGCCTAATCAACAGCTCTGAGCTCTGACATCACCGGTAGGATGTGCTATTATTCTGAGAGCTATTGAGAGAAATCCATAGCAACCAGCAACCAGTGAGCAGAGGATTCCCTCTTAAAATAGGAATAATCACTCTCTTTTGACCGCTGAATCATTCAGTTTATATTTGTCCCCCAAGTTACTGAAAGGGGGCTAGCTGTGCCTTGTTTTCCACGCTGTTTGTGGAAATGGCCATAACCTTCATACGAGCATCGCGGACCATGAGGGGAGCTGGGTTTGCCCTCATAGCAAAAGGCATGTCGATCGTGCTCTTTCAGCTTTTGAAGTTTTGCGTTTTTATGTGTACCGGTATTCCACACAAGGCAGCGTTAATTCTGTACTTTCTCAGCAAGCTCTGGGCAGCACTGGAAAGCCATTCCAACAGGGAACAGAATTCACTCACCAGCCACAAAGTAAAAATAATCAAAAGACAGTAAAAAAAAAGAAGAGCCAAGGAAGAAATATAAGCTAAATAACTTCCCTGTGTGATCCCTCCGGGGAAGTATTTTGGCTAATGTTGTTTTACAAAACAGGTTGAAAAACAAATAAATTAAGCAATCTTTAAGATCCCTCTGTGCATATTTAGCACTGACACCAAAACCCATATTTCTTTTTCTTTTCGTGATTGTATACCTTTGTGGAGGCTGTAAAAGGGATTTTGCTGCAGAGATTTTACATCTCTGAGATATAAGTCGCACAGAATTTAGCTGTAAGGTCACCAAAGAATACTGATAACAAACACTGAATAAAAAAATGATTTATTAAACTAAGTATTTGATAAATACATTAGTGTTTAATAATATTCATCCTATTTAATATTCAGTGTTTAATAAAACTAATAGTTTTAAAGTAGACATGTTTTTATTTTTTTCTTTACAGACATTACAGAATGAGGCTATTTGCAAAACCAGTTTGATTGAATCACCCACAAACCTTATAGAGGCTGATTTTTGAGTGAGAGCAGGTCGCTTAGTTCTATAAACTCACTGCATTATTGGAAAGATAAGTGACCCGAAATAACAAAGCAATTAAAAAAAATATTCTCCTTTATAGTGCCAGCACAATTGACAATGGAAGAATAGAAAATCTGTAATCCAAACATTCTTCATTTATAAAGCGAGGATCAAAAGATGAGAGGATTAGTGCTGAAGGCTCACCCTTCACAATGAAACAGCTGCCCTGTGGTGGAGGGGGGAGGCTTTTTTTTTTAAATCAGAGTGACCTGAACTCCTTTAACATTTTTCTGTGAAAATGCACAGCCCTTAAAATGTTTGGTGGTGAACTTGTGCCCTTTCTTCTTTTTTTGATTTTCTTGACTTTTCAATGGGAAGAATGGGTGAATGTGTTTAAAAGTCATTGCATGGTTCCCTTCTCTGAGATTGCATTGTGAAGTGTTCTGGGATTTTGAGGCCTCTGAGCACAATATAAAGTGCAATTCTATGTTCTCTGTGCATTTTCACAGCAGTAGTTATACATTAACACAAACAAATAAAGTCCAGACATGTATGTCTCCCTTAACAACAGAACAAAGGTCATTCTTGCAGAGCAGAGAATAACCCGCAGACATACTCTGCTCTGCAAGTTTTGGACACTTAGCATTTGTCAACTCTCTTTTTAATCAAGGCTTTTCCTTCGCTATTAAGAAGCAGTGCTGATCCATCAAAATTTCAGTTATTTTAAGAGAACAGTTAACAGATGCCAGATAACAGCTAAACTATTTTTTCTCCTCAATTTCATTTTAACTATTTTTTCTCCTCTTAATAAAGTCAGTGGTGACCAGACAGGAAATGGGGTGGAGAAGGTCATTGGTGCTACATTGTGTGACACTAGAGTATATCTTTCCTATTTCTGCTTCATGGGTGTGCAAATGGTCATCTTTGGTCTTTGAGAGTAGCTTTCCAGTGGCTTTCAGAGGTCTCTTTAACCTCCAAACAGTGCAAGTCTTGGTGATAGGCAGTATTTTTTGTTCATCTCAGTTGAGCAAATAATTAGTCCAATTAGGAGCTCAGCTGAAATGAAATCCAAGATAAGCTTGTGATCCTTGAAGATTACAGATGGACACCCCAGCTTGATGAAGGCCTTGCATTAACTTCATGTGCGAACTGCTAATTAACAACAACAGAAAATGATATGCAACACAACAACCAATAATAAAAACACTTAAGAAGAGAGTAGGTCACGCAACTTCACCATACTGATTGGATTGTCAGTCTCCTGGTGTTTCATGTTTCTCGTGAAGATGCTTCTTAAAGGAAACCAAAAATACGCCAGAGAATTTTGACAGTCAGTATACATCAGTTTGGCAGTCAGGAAACGCAAATCTGATTGAAGGGTTCAATAAGTTTTCCTGGCTGTTTTCAGAAAAGCAGTTTATTCACGAAAAGTAAAGGTTTAAATCATAAATACATAGGTTTTATTCTCATAAATTCAGCTATTACATGGATTTGAAAAAAAATACTTTAGACACCAAAGAATGAAGTGTTTTACCATCAAACCTAAACCTGTAATCTGAAACTTCAGATACAGCTGCCCTGTTACACCGAGGTAGAAGGTCAAAGCTGCATTCATGTAGCCCTTTCACAGTTGAGTCATTTAGGAGGCCCCTAAAAAGGATGTTTTGACAATTGTGCCCAAAAACAGTTCTGAGGCTGGACACTGCATTAATTTCATTCAACGCCTTTAGCTTCTGTGCTCCACACCTTCAGACACTCACACCTCCCCTGCCATGTGCTGCGTTTTCGTATCCTGTCCATTTCTCACCGGTTGGGCTACTTTGATCCTGCTGAAAACAAGCCCTCCAGGACCAGAATTGCCCACCCCTACATTTCCATGGCAACATAGCCAATGGTACATGGCATATACACCAGACTTCTCAATGGGCAGTTCTCTAATCTGCTCTACTCCGCTCCTTTAATAAAAACAGAGTCTTGTTATGACATGGGTGCTGCTAATGAGTGAAACAATGACGAAGCAGTCTGTAACAACTTTATATTACGACCTGGAAGGGCCTCAGGATGAGTGGTCTGTGGACTTTGAGGCATGAAAGAAGAACAATTGGTTAGAGCTCCTCTTCTGGGCATGAGCTGGAGTGCACCTTGGTTGTTCTGTCCAAGAGAATAGGCCCGTAGCCCGCTCTGCTTAACCCAAAGAGAAAACAGTTTGCCAGGATGAAGCATGTAAATACGACATTGCTGCCATTTGATTTTACTGGAGGTTAGCATAGCCCCTAATACAAACAAAACTGGCCAACGATAAGGCTAAAACATCCACAGGTATGTGCAACTCCAGACACTGTACATACTGCTAGCCACTTTCAAGCAGACATTACTACTTTGTCACTATCGGATGTTCCACTCAACAGGAGTCAAATTAATGATGTAGATGTGCAGGTGCGACCTGCCAAGGTATTAACACCCCTGGGGTACGACTGACAGCCACATGAACAGCAGTGGAACGAGGACTGACTCTTCAAGCTATGGGCCCCTGGAGGTTTATTCAATTATTCTTAACCAGGGGGTGGATGGAGATTAAATAATATTCTGAGCCAGTGTTGTTCAACCTGCCTGCGTCTTTGTGTTTATCCTCTTTCAAAGCATGGACGCTTACATACATTTTCCTAACATCAGTCAAAATCCTTGTTTTATTTGAATGTCAGTGGTGTTTTCTTTTGTGAGATCTCTGGGCACTTTGTGAAGCACGTGTTTTATTGATTTTGAGTCACCGATTATTTTTGTTATACTGTACCCAATACTGAATAGCCAGTCGAGTGTTTTTACATGTCTCGGCAGCTGCATGTCCTGAGACTGCACATAGTGGAGGTGTAGGCAGACACTTCCATACTGCCCACCTTTGAGCTGCTTGTATTTGAATCCATCACGGGCAACGCAGCCCCATAGCAGCGACTGGAGGGGAAGCACAGCCCTCAGTAACAGCACCGCATGTCTGCAAGAACCAGGAGTTCCACAAGGGTGGCGATGTCACTGAGACCGGAGATAACCCTCACTGACTCATCCCACCGTACCCATGATAGTGCTTAGCCAATTGTACTCTTAAGAAGTCCTGGTTATAGTCGGCTAGTAACATGGCCATATGTACTGTAACAGATCCCCCATGGGTGGTAGCTGAGTTTGGGGGAATCTACAGACATTAACCTCCAATTTGCAGTATTCAAGGCAGCATCCAGACCAATAACGTGATTTGTAACCATTTTTTACCCTATATCAGTCCACGATCACTTGCCTTACTCAAACTTTTTGTATCTTAGCCATGAGTAGCAGTGAAAGTACCGTCAACCTCGTTGATGTCAGTCAGGCCAGTCCACTATATAACCATCTTTTTATTTACTAGCAGGCTGGTATGGAAATGATTGGGGCTGCTACTCTGTGAGACCTTCCCTGCTCTCACAATCGTAACTTTACCCTTAACCGTGAGCATCCGCTACTAATTGCACTCACACAGCCCTGTTCTCTCTCTATAACAGGCTGTCTGTAGCCCCAGTTGTTTCTGAAGCCTCTCAGAGTTTTTTCCTGTGAGCCTCTTTGTCTCACTGTGCCTTGAGCTGACTTTCAGGAGCCTCCCCCATGAGTCTCTATTACTCACTGCCACACCTGACAGCAACAGTCTAGCTCCCCATAAGCCAACCAGGACTGTTCACTTACTCAACCTTTAAATAGGTAGACTGGTTTCACACAGTTGATGCCAGTCCTCCAGCTGCCTTGTGGATATGCGTTTTTCCCTGTATTCCATCGAACCACCATTGAACCTGTAATCTGACACTCCAGATCCTGCTGCCCTGTTACACCAAGGACGAAAGTCAAAGCTGCATTCATGTAAGTCCTTTCACAGTTGAGTCACCCAGGAGGCCCCTAAAAACCATGTTTTGACAATTGTGCCCCAA